AATTTCATGAAAGAAGCATGCGACTTACACAGTAGCACACAAAACACGTACAAAAGAAACAAAAATTAATTTTTGATAGGTTTTATTTATTCATGCCGAAAGCCAACATCGGTCTCGTTTATCGATAAAGCCGTTTACAGCCAATTGGTCATGTCCATCGATAACAGTCAACCGGAAGTATAGTATTGATATTTGTAATAAATACAAATAAGAGGAAGGTTTGTGTGATACAAGTCTATAATTACAAGATTAATACAATTTTATTATCTTTAAACTATTTTTAAAACGCGTCTTCTAAATGAATGAGCAATTAAACTAAATTCTTTTTATATCTAATTTATTTTTTGGTTACTACTGACTCATGGGCGTATCTAGGAACGGGGACGGGGATCATTGAGTGGCAATACCCTATTTTAAAAGGTCCAATGCCCTATCTTAAAATGAAAAGCCCCAAGAAATTTAGACAGATTCACTTTTTCGAAGTTACTTAATTAGGACTTCTGCCCTACCAAAAAGTTCTGAGTCTAGCTACGGTCGTGTACTGACTGTTAAAAAAAAATAGGGTATAAGACAGTGAACAAAATTTTCCTTTGTGTAAGTCGTGTACTGGCACAACACGTGCGTGTTATAGAATCCAATTATATATGGCTATTTTATTATGACGGACTAAAATATATACCGAAGATCACATCTCAAACTTGAAAACCTTGACGGACAAGACAATCATAAAGGCAGGCTCTTAATATTAACTTGAATTTATTTACTTGGACTTAGTCCACCCGTTCCCCCTTCTAAATGCGCTTGTAGTATTGGCTTAGTTATAAGGGATATAAATTAAATACTTTTGCAATACAAAATAGGGGACGTGCGACAAATCACGTTCACGACGTAGGTACGGTTGGAAGTTAACTAAACAGCAGTGCTGCTGGATGAACGTGGATTGCGATGCCCCGCAATCCACGTTTTTATTAAAAAAGGACAGGTAGATACAGTAGGTAGTTGAAATTGACATCCGCATATCTATACGTAATATTAAATAAACAACACATTTTACGCTAAATACTTAATTATAAAATGCTTATATGTAGTAAGTCGCTTACATTAGCAGACGCCAAAAAAACATTTACTGACTCGCCTAGGCGAAGTTACGCTTTGCTAACAATATACCTTATCAAGTCGACCTGCACGTGGCCCCCCTGGAAACCATCGTGTTAAATTCCAGATGTATTAATCACTATGGGCTAATTAACCTGCCTTTTCATTCTCACCTATCATCCCTCACTAGTGCCCTGCCAGCGTATACCGTTAGTGCAGGCGGAGTAACCATTGTCATCCATTATAAAAAAACAATGTAAAATTTAATGCGATTCTTTATTCTATGATCAGATCAGATTCTATGGCGCCTCTCTTCAACCGTAGCACCTTAGGGCGTAACTTGACCGCAACCCACCTAAACTTAAGACAGGTATGGCATAAAGGAAAAGTATGTCAGCAGACAAAGTATTCCTCGCCCGCACAGTTCATAAATTGAAGGTATCAACCTAAGTACCTACAATCCAAATTTCCTACAATCCACGACTAGTTATTATCCAACTAGTAATTTCAATATGTATGTATTTTTCTATCGTTTTACCAACATTTCAATTATTGTCAAAAATAATTATAGTTCAGGTAAACACCATGTCATCTAACACCGGGTGTTCTTGCAACTTTGTCCGTTTGTTAGTGGAAATTAACTTAATTCATAAAAACGTAATGTGATTATTTGATAAACACCATCTAGCGAATTTTGTCGTAAACAAATACTGCAAACGCCTCTACCTTTTATGTCTATTATTTCATATCAATTTTTAACCATCCACTGCTGAACATAAACCTCCCCCATGGGGGGGGGGGGGGTTGCCAGTAGTTACCATGCTTGGTAGGCGGATTAGCAACTACAGTAAGGCTTTGGAGATGTTTTAAGAGGAACGCTGCTGCCCGCCCTTCACTCTCTTAAGTTCCTCAGTCCACTCTTTCGACACTCATACGAATGGAAGTGGTGGCCTATTCTATGCCGGGACCACACGGCGAATAGTTTCATGTTTATACTATATACTTATACATACTTCCTTTGCTATATTCACTTGATCCATTCTAATGAAATATACGTGCATTTCGGCACGTGTAATATTAGTATTGCTCCGATATCTATATATTGGGTTCCTCTGGACATTGAAGACGAAAAAAAGGTCATTGCCCATTTCGATATCGCCAATACCAGTCGAATATCTCCATTCGTTTCAATCGGGTGCTTCATTTCAATGTTATATATTGGACAACTGATATATAACATATCTTTTGTTGATCCAATACATAGATATTGTAAATACAATACATAGCTTTTGCTGTATAATACCTATCCCTACGTGCATACACAGTAGTTCTATTTGATTTTAAATTAATTGAAATCAATAAATATATAGTGACTTTCTAATGATGTTTTATTTAAGATCGTGTTCCACAATAAAAAAATGATTTCAATTGTGGCAAAGCCAGTTATTTTCATTTAGTAATAGTAGATAGAAAACTAATAAACCAATTTTGATAAAAATTCTATGGACCCAATCTGTAATAATATAATCTCAGATAAAAAAATAATTTGTCTTTTCAAATTGGTCTATAACTGACGGTGTTTTAAGGTAACAAACGTAACAAATACAATCTAATTAAGAACCTCCTTCTTTTAAATCGGTTGAAAAACACAGACATCAATTCTAGAAGTAACTGACGTGTTACCTATTGTTTATTGGTAAAACTTAATAGATCTCGGATCTATTAAACTGGTAGTAAATTTTCCAGCAATTTAATCACCGTTAATAATTGAAATATTCATTCGACTTCAAAATGGAAGAAACGAATTTTTTTTTATACAACTTAGAATGGCAAACAAGCTGACGGCCCACCTGATGGAAAGTGGTAACCGTCGCCTATAGACATGAGCAGTACCAGTTTCGCCCATGATACTCCCCATGAGTTGCCATTTCTGAGGACTCAGGTGTTATTCATCTGTACCCAGTAAATTCACGCCATATCCCACCCTTCAAACCGAAACACAGTCATGCAAACACAACTACTTCACGGTTGAAACACGATTATGAGTGATTACTCGTATGTGTTAAGCGGTTTCTACAGTAATTCAATACTTGTGTATTTCATCGATTCCCTACCGTGATTACCACTTTGCATCGGGTGTAAATAAAATAATTGATTAAGTTTATTTCTGGCTCTCATGTAATTCTATTCTCTATGCATCGTCAAGGAGGGAAAGGGATTGTTAGTAATGAGGTCTAACTGACCCATTGCCAGCAATACACCCTATCAGGTCGACCTCCACGCGTTTTCCCCTGGAGACCATCGTGGTTAACACTAATGGAATTCGTCACAATGGGCTAACTGACCTGTTTTCATCGTCACCTGGTGCCCCGCCAGTATATAGCGCAGGAGGGGTTACCATTCCATCATCACCTTTTAAAAAAAATGCATCATTATGAGAGAAAGGGATTGTTAGTAATGAGAATCTAATAGCCCCTATTGTTAGCAATATATTAGAATAAAGTCCATCTCCACGAAAATATTAAATTATTATAATAAAGTATTGTTGGATTCGTCACAATAGGTTAACTGACCTGCTTCATCTTCACTTATCATCCCTCACCGGTGCCTCGTCCAGTGTATACAGATAACGCAGGCTGGGTTAACATTGTATTGTAATGCACAAAAAATGCATCGTTTAAACAGCCGTCTCTTTATGTCGATCTTTCTTTGTAGAACAAAACGTTAAATAATCAATTATTGAAATTCAAAGTGAATATTAGTTTTCTCAATGAAATTTACTTTAAACATAACAACATTTATCTGGAAAAGTCTTTTACATAAATATTATGCAAACGATAAAACTCAGGATCGAAAGTTGAACTGATGAAATGATGCCTCTTAAGAGGAAGCTCTTGATCTACTTTTTTTTTTTTTTTTTTTTTTGCAGAACAATAACTTAATTTTAAATTTCGTATTTGGAATAGAATAGAAACGTTTAATTGACTTAATTGCTTTTTAAATTTAGAAGAAAAGCAGGTAAGTGTGTTTAATTTTAAATTTTCATTTAGTACCGGTAGGTTGGCCGGGGTAGTCAGAGAGAACAGTGCTAAATGCTCTATTCTATGTATACCTATTGGAAGAAATAAAAAAATGCCACGTACGCCAATAACACTAGCCAGCTTATTTGCTCTTATTGTTTTGATCACTTCCATTCCTATTAAATTTACGACCTTGTAAAAAGTGTAAATTAATTAAATAAACGTCTTAAGCTATACAGCGCATATAGACCTTTATTTATTCAATTAATATTCTTTTTTATTTGTTGACTGAATGAATTTTCTGAACGTATAACGTACGTTTGTATAAAAATAATTTAGGTATACAAATCTTTTGTAACTCTATAATTCTAGAGATTTGGATCCTATTTCAATTGATACAAAATACTTAGATAAGAAAGCTATAAATATAGTTAAATAATAAAGATATAAAAGTAAATTTTATTATAATTTATAATTAAAAGTAATAAAATTTATTAAGGCAAGCCTCAGCTTCAAGCCTTATAAAAAGCAGACAATATTAATTACCTTTTGCGTTTTAAGCACAGATAATATAATACTTGGTTTCAAGTAATATTAGTAAGTAGTTCAAATATATTAGTAAATGTGTTTTTATAAAATATATAATATAAATTATGCATTTGTTAATATGTAATTAAGTCTAATGAATAATTATAAAATTAAATAAATATTAGAAGAGGAAATTGTACATATACATTTAAATATTTGAAATAACTAACTAACTGCCTCTTAAATGGCAGACAATATTATTAACTATTATTTCAAATCCGTTTGCCTATCATAACATGTTTTAATGATAACAAATTATTAAATAGCTTCGGTTAGCATCTTGTCGCTTGGTTTGTGCTACCGTGGACATTCATGGCTTGGACGTCGCGCTTGTCATACGGCTATAGATAATTGTTTTTTTATTTTTTCGAATATAAATGCATTCGTCGAATGAAAATTTAGTACAGTAGCGGTCGCGGTGTTAACAGTGCATTCTGTATTTAATATATTTTTTTTTATTTAAGAAATAAAATTTTATTTTCGTGAGCAATGGTGAAGACTCTGTGCGTGTACAGGACTGTGAAAGCCTTCATCATGAGTGACTCGCTGAAGAAGTTTGATTTAGATGCAACGAACGATTTCGTGAAAGTAGCAATCGCCATCGCCGGCTTTTATATGGGAATTTTCTATTGTACGTAATTTTTTTTTTTGGTTTTCTTTTTGTTGAATTTTTGTTTTTACTTATTTTAATAGCTTTATATTTTTTTATGAAATTGCAATAAGCGAGTATAAATAATATTTTGTATAATTTTGTACTCTATAATTTTATAAAATATCGTCGCTATTATAAAGTTGTTGAAACAGGAGTCTTTTTTTTATAGTATTCCGAAGCTCATAAATATATATTTAAGCCAATAATTTCGTGTACAGAAAAAAAGAAAAATGAACTGTACTAAAATTGAAATAATGACCGCGAAATATTAAAAAAGAGAAACGTAGTTCTGTATAAGGAGTTAGAAAATCCGCTGTGATATCCTAAAAACACCTAGTACTTATTAATAGTATCCAGCCATAAGAATAATACAACTTACAAATACTTACAAGAGTATCTATCTGTCTACTCTTATGATTAAGCCCTATTTCAGCCCGAACCGTTACTACGAAAGTGAGGAAAAAATCTTAGAAAAAGTTTGGCATTGTATTCACTTCATTAATTTAATGAGCTCTCAACTTCTTTTATACAAAACTGGCTTTTACCTACAACTTTATACGTATAGTTTTTTGAAGTAGGTATCACTTCTAAATGGTACAATAAGAGAAAACATAAAATTGTAACAGATTTTAAATCGTCAGTAATATAACTGATAACTGTGAAAATTACATTTAATTTGGTCAAATGGTTTTTGCTTGATAGCGAAACAAACTTGAAATAGACAGAAATTTAAAATATATCATTTTGGCTTCTTATTGTTCTTATTAGACCCATCATATCTATTTTTCTTAAATATATTCTATGTACAGACATAGTCTAATTTTATTATATTACTAAGATGCAGTAACCCGATCCGAAACCCAATGAGTTTACGAAACTGAACAACTTTCCCAAATTATCATTTGGAAAATACAAACCATGCGCTGTTTCAAAAACTTTTTTCATATTTCATTTATATCCCTTGGAGAACTTTAGTTAACCTACGCGTCTGCATAGAAACAGAAGTAGACATTTAAAATGTTATATTTTTTTTAATGGTGTCGTATTTTACGACTAACCATAGACAATAATATCCACTAACAAAGCCTGTATGTATTTTATATATAGTACATACAAATAAATACTTTCATTTTCATGAAATAGCCAACCGACACCACTGGCTTACGAAACCGCTTAACCAAATGTGGTCGAGGGAAACATACAGAATATAATATGACCACAATTGACTGGAAACATTCCTATTGTTTATTATATAACAAATTATATGTTATTATAGAATCATACTTTAAAGAGGCCGATAGAAAAGTCTTATAAATTTGGATATGGAATTTTTTAACGAAAAATATCTAGGGAGGCTTGTATTCTGAGCAGAAAATAAATGTTTTGTAGCATTGTAATTCAAATTGTTCTCTATATGATTTATGATGGACGTATAATAAAACGCCGAGGATTGTCTTTAGGTTTAATTAATACTTAATGTGATTCCAAGCTATAGAAAAAAAAAACAGAAAAAGGAATATTTACAATGCTTATGCCCAGTCGGATATAAAAATGTTGGGTAGTTGCCCAAACTCTGTATCTGGTGAGAAAAAAAAAATATTTAGGTACAATTATCTATATACTTGTATCTAACGTAGATTCTTGAAGTAAGTGTAATAAGCCTAAATCCAACCTATACACTATTATTATTATTAATTACAAAAAGTTGTTCAGTTTTCCGAAAACTGATTAATTTCACAAAACTGAACAAGTTTTCGAAGGAAAACAAAATAAATATGAAAAAAAAAATTGGAATCATTCATAAAAATTACACCTTACAATAATTATTGAAACATTTTATTTTTGTAATTTATTCCTAAATGATTTTTTTTAAGTTTTCATGTACATAATTATTGGACTGGCTAGTTATAATCTGACCATTACATTTTATGCTTAAATTTGTTCTAAATATAAATATATTAAATGCTATGATAACTATCAAACACATACATTATCATGGATAATAAAATCAATATTTTTGACATACATTCGGTTAACCGACAAGCGATCCGAAACGGTCTTTTTAATCTAGCTACTGAAATTGTTATCAATACATGAAAATAATCATATCTTCATTATTATAATATTTTTATTAGTCGTTAAATTATTGTTATAATTATGAACTATTAAATTGGCATGCTGACTAATGACGCAATGGAATTGGGATCAAATTAATATTACATTAATCAGATATTATATGTATAGTCGAGTGCCCTCTATGTGAATATAAGAATATGTAATTTTATGCATCTTGAAATGGTAACACAGACGTTTTTATAAAAGAATCAATTGGGAAATGCCCACTATTGTGATATATGAAAATCTATTATAATACCATTATAATCATAAACACTAATGGACTTTTAGTCTTCGGTCACTTTATACACTTAATAGTGACTATGTGACACCAATCACGTTATGAATACCACTCCATTACACTCAATATTTAATATCTTTTCCAATTTATCAACATTTATTTTTTCTCTTTATTTAGGTCAACAAATAGTGGACACTATAACAATATATATATATATATATATATATATATATATATATATATATATATATATAATTTTTGTGCTACCAACGACGTTGACCACCTATGACTATATAACAAAATATATATAATAAAATAGTTGTATGCAACTACTACTTGTATAAAATCAAAGACATGTTAATTACGGATTTACGATTATGTAAACACGAATTTTATTAATTATGTCAGTGGGACGACATTCTGCGTGTGCAAGTTGAATGATGTGAATTTACACGCGTCATCACACATGACACATAAATTTTGTAAAAAATAGTGATCTTATAAAAAAGTCAGCGACCTTTATTGAATTTAAGAGTGTTCATACTTTAGTGTCGTATGGTGCCGGCGTAGAATGGACCACCCTTTCCTTTCCCGGGGGTGTCGTAAGAGGCTACTAAGGGAGTTTAATAGTCGAGTGATGGGAAGCAGTGTTTTTCCTAAAACATCACTAAAACCTAACTACGGTGGCCAGTTCGCCTGCCAAGCGTGACAACTACTACCAGAACCCTTCTTATGGGGGTGACCCATGTTCGGCAGTGGGCAGTCAATGGCTGATATGGTAATACTTTACCGAACTATCCGTCAATTTTCAAAAACAGTTTTCATGTTGTTTTTAAACAATTTTCAATATTTTCAAATAATTTATTTTAAAAATACTCTACTAGCGAATATATTTGAAAAAGGTAAAAGCCCTTAAATAAAAGAAAACAATTGATCATTTAATACGTTCCATATATATACGTAATTCTTTCACTACAAACTTCACACGTGCTTTATATTTTGCTTTGGAATTTTTCAAATAATTTTTTTGTCATCAAAATGGAAATTTTCCAACAAGTGGCAGCTTGGTAAGAATATTATTCCATGACTAATGTTTTAGTTCGGTAGCACAATTCTTTTTAAATATTTAATCAATAATAGTGAAAGTGTTGACTCGTTTTTTAATATTGACAGATAATTGTGATATAGTCGCACTTTGGTAAGCTCTTAAATGCTCTTAAAATTAACTAGTATTCTTATTTTAAATGCTTGCAATTTAATCTAATTTGTTCTCTCAAAATTATTACACACTTTGATTTCAAATTAATCCCCTTTGGGAGGTAATTCTTAAACTTTCTATTTCTATAGCTTTAATGTTGACCCATATTTAGCTCAATGTACTGTTAAATTTTCATCACAATCTCTTCAGCCATTTTTACGTGAAACCCAAAAACGTGAAGCAACCGATTAATAAATGCACACAGAAAATTAAACAGAAGATGTGAGAAGTATGCGATTTACGCAACTACTGTGTTTTTAGAGTTCATGTATGTGAGTCTCTTTGTTTCATCATTACTTCTAAATACCTAAGCAGATTTATATATATGGGGTATCGTCAGAAACCTTACATCATTCACACTGGTATAACACTGGCTATATTTTTTAAAATACTTCGTTCGTTATTGGCAGTTTTTTTTTTATTTTGTTGAGCAAAATATACTTGTTTTTATCCAGACCATACTTTTTACATAAACAATATTCTCTTTCCCTTTTTTTCTCAAATTAAGACTCAAATTGTCACAAAACATGCAGTTGCATCAATTTAAATCAATATCTGTGGCATACATCAAGAAATAATTTCCTAAAGTACCCTCAGGAGTCATTCTTTCTAATTATACATAAATGTGAAAGTGGGTTTATTCGGTTGCGCCTTAACGACTTAACCAATTCCTATAAGATTTAGTATTATACATATATGAAGAAGAAGGATATAAGCTATTTATGTATCGCGGTTTGTTGATATCAGTCACGCGGTCGCAAGTAAAAGTTATTTAAATAACGGAGTTCAAAACAAAGTTAAATAAGCGAAACTAAACGAAGATTCTAGATCCCCATAGTTTTGAATTGTTTTCTCATATTATTGCGTTCTAATCACGCACGATCGACTTATCAGTGTATGTAAATGATTTATAATGTATACAATATGACCGATACAGAATCTTCTGTGCTCGCTGACCGATAACAGAGTAGGCATGGCCAGATAAAAATAAGTACAAGTAAAAAAAAATATAATCACTTTTATTTATCTCTTTCACTAAATAAATTTGTTCTTGAACCAAGTTCCAGAAAACGTTCTGGTCATTTTCAATGTCATGAAACGCGTGTGTGTAAACAAAATCCTTATCATACGAAAATGGCATACCAACTGTCTCATCTTTACCATTATTTACCGGTAAATATTATAATTAGCAACATATACATTTTACTTTACAAAAAACAGCTACAGCCACTGAGAAGTAACAAAATATTTCGTAAACATATTACAATGAAAATATTTAAATTTAGAATGCAAAACTTATGTATTATAATTTTTGTAGCCAGCATTTTTTCTTCCTTTCTTTCTGGCAAATTGAGAGAAGGCAAC